CCCCTCTCCCGTACTTCATGGCTGGCACTACTGATGGGGCTGAAATTTTAAGAGAAACTTTTGTGAGAGAGGTTGGTATGTTGTAGATTAGGAGAACAAGGAGAGAAGGCGCAAGTAAGAATGTGAGTCCCACTCACTACCAAAGAACTGAAGATCGATAGAGTATTGAGAGAGTGTTAAATAATGAAAGTAGCTCTCCAAATATTTTTGAAACAGGTTTGTGTTTGCTATTATCAGCGTGACAATTCGAACCGTACAAAATTGAAGGATGTGCTGTGAACGGATGACAGTCACAGCAATTTAGTTGAGATCGCACTGACAAGATTCACAGTATTTCTGGGTGGAGCAAGCTTTTCGAAGGCCTGTAATGAATTAAAAAAATACTTATGTTTACATTCAACTTTAACCTGCAGGCAAGGGCGGGGGAAGGAATATTTGTAAATGATCCCAGAGTTTTTTCGTTGTTCGTCTTGGTTGATTAAAATATATTGTTAGAATTTGTTCGTTCGTTTTTTCCAGGGTGCTGCACTAGCGACCATGGTTGGCTGGTTAACTTACGGAAACAAGAAATTTGAAGCGTTGGATTCACAGATGAGGACACTTATTCCTCCCCTGAGACAAGCAATGCTGGATTTTATTCCTATGATTGATGCAGACACAAATGCATTCAGCGGATTCATGGTAAATTTGCATTTGTGTTATGGTCGCGCCATCCCGTGTTATGGCGTCGCCATATGTGAGTACCGTTTTCAGTGGAAATTACAGCTCATTTGCTCTCCTGTTGATGATAGCCAATGCGAATGATGAAAATCTAATACAAGTCATGCTGTTACATATTCGATCATGCTGATTCATAATCTTCGAAGTTTAATTTTTGGCACGAGTTGGAAGAGAGAATAAATGAGAAGGTGGGGGTGGTGCAAAACAAAAAGACAGCAAAAATAAGTGAAAAGTGGGATGACTGTTCTTGAAGATAGACAACAACACCAATCGCGCATAACAGGACCACGTTATACACCTTGATACCAATGGAACGAGAATAATTGGAACAATAGGCACAAAAGTTCATCTTACTTTTACAAGAGGAACTACCTACATGATCTTTTCCATAGGAGAGCATTGTATTTCCGTTTTAAAACGTTTGGATTTTGCCTTCCTTGAATTTATGATAAATTTTTCAACTTTTTAGGAAGCAAAGAAACTTTCAAAAACTACCCCTGAAGAAGAGGAAAAGTAAGTTCTTAAAGGTTATGTATTGTTGGTGTTACGTATCTTAGCTTTTATCAGAATTCATTGATACGAAGTTGCAAAAAGGTCAACAGAAAAAGAAAAGAAAAAGAAACAGAAAACAGAAACAGAAAAAGAAAAGGCGAAGACTATTTGCAACGGAAGACTCAGAAGGAGGATGCCTCATAGACTGCTCATGCGGAATTATTTCTGTTTCTAGCCTAGCGGCATGATTAAACTTACCTTTCCATGGCAGTTTAACCTGTGCTAGAGTTCATCGTGTTTTCGAAAAAAACTCAACCTGACACTGTCAGCTATAGCGTTTTTCAACGTGACCTTGAGCGATCTTAGTTCCTGATATCGCTGATAGACACCGGAACGAAAATAGCCGTTTTTTGCATTCAACATCAAGCACTATGGTTGCTTCAAACTGTTCTGGATAGATATCTTCTGCCGAGCTCCTCAACTAATACTTGCTGCTTTGCGTCTCACGATCTTTTGATGACATTTGAAATGTCGCGCGTGGTGTCTTTCTTAAATTCCCCGTCAGACCTTGTTATTGGCCAAAAACTTGTTGCGTGTTTTTTTTTTTTTTTTTTGGGAATAAAAAAAAGAATTTTCACTGTTATGTTGTTGTTATTTATATGTGGTATTTCAGACGTGAGAAAGCTTTGCAAGATGGGCTCAGATCCGCTGTTGAGGTGCCTCTTAATGTTATCAAAACAGCTACCAAGGTGTGGAACCCGATGGTAGAGCTTGCCAAAATTGGAAATATCAACAGCAAATCTGATCTGCAGGTATGCAGTTAGGCGTATAAATGCTTGTATGATAACATTACTGGTAGTGCGGATGGACACGTGTCCAGCTGCTCTTTCTAATTACTCTCATCCAAGAGATAATTATATTTTCTTGCTTTCGTCTTATTTTTCGTTTTAAATAAAGGACATCATGACTGGATGGATAGCACAGTTATGCATGTAACTGTCTTCCTCGAAACTGACAGTACTGCCAGCCTTTCTAGCTACATAAAAAATTTAGTTTGCTGAAACCCTTATCCCGTTGTTAATGTTGGATGAGAGCAAACTGCAAACTTAAGTTACATCAAGATAGCCCGGGTCCAAGTGCACACAGAGCAGAGTTTCACACTCCCTGTGACCAATGTTGGAGGTACAGTGTAAGTGTGGCGTATACGGGCAGGCTTTAGGTACCCTCGTGACAGAACGAAATATCTAACGGGTTTATTTTTTGTTTCGCTTCACAGGTTGGGGCTCGAAGTCTGGAGACAGCCGTGTGGGGCGCATTCCACAACGTGAAGATTAACTTAGATGACATAAGTGATGAAAATTTTAAGAAACAAGTAAGTAATATGCGCTTTCAACCGTCAACTTTCATTAGCATGAAATTGTCACTGACAATCATCTCAAAGTGATTTCCATACACAGGATAACAAAGACTGTTATTACATCTCTCTGATAGAAAGTGCGCTATAACTGGTCAATTTAGTGGGTCGTATTTCACTGCGCGGCCAATTAAATTCAAAAGTTTTTGTTAATTAAATCCTTCCGTTTCTATTTGAACTCAGAGATGTCATAAATATTTCACTAACCTTGTTTTCTTGGTCCGTACTGTAAATTACGGAACCTCGTTTATTCCTCTCAGTCCGAAACGTACAGTATAGAGCTGGAACTTCGATTAGTAGGAGGCCAAAAAAGCTTAAGACGGCCGAGTCAGATTAAATTACATTAAAAGTAACTCTGTGTGGGAGAATGAGCCTGTCTCTTTGTGGTCCAAGATGCACTAGATTCCATTGAATCTTCTATTTTACTCGGTAGGTTGTACACGAAGCGGAATCCTCTTTGGAAAATGCACAAGAAAAATGCAAGGAAATCTTGAAGATCTTAGAGGAAAGAGAGTAATAAAACAACAACCCTGTGTAGAAGAATCAGAATTGGCTGAGATGGTCGGTGGGGCAAAAGGTTTGAATGCACCCAGCTTCAAACTGAGACATGGAAGATGTGTGGTAGTTCTTATCGAATTGGTGAATATAGTTCTTCTCCCGGCCTTTTCTCCATATCTGCGTTGGGCTTCCTTCGTTATAAAAATAAACACGTTGACAATCGTACGGTCATTGAAAGAGCGATATTAGAAAGGGAGTTATTATTGGACACAACACTTGCTGTATCGACCAAGAATGGCCAAATTTTTATTTATAGGCTAAGGCGGTGGGTTGGAGTGGATAAAATCCGTTAAACGTATAAATAGGTATAAAGGCTTAAGATTAGAGTTTGCAAGGTGACAATTAAATGCAGCGTTGTATTTTGAATCGATAATGATGGTAAAATAAAATGGTGGCATTGCCTACATAAATGATGCGCAATTGCCAACGTCACTATTAAATACACGCTCAAATACTGTTCCTTTTAAAGAAGAGTATCGACACAACTTGAAAGTTGTTTCGATTAAATTTCACCGTTCAAGGCCGATGTGAAAGGTCGCCTTATTTATGCCAGCGCAGCTTGCTTCTCGCAAAAAACTATTTATCAACACTCTAGACCACACAATTTATCGTGTCTTTTCGTGATGAGCAGAGCTAGCAGATATAATGGTAATGTCTACAAAAAACGTCGAGATGTTCGAAAGTGGCTCTGGCAAATCTGGGTTATATTTTGAGATGTGACTTTTTTCCGATCGAGAACATAATTATTTCTTCTATTTTGGACAAAATTTGCTCCGTTGTTTATTCGATTCCGCACTCCTCATTTCCTCCCAATGTGATTGTATTTTTTTATCGCCAGGGCCAGCTGGAAAATTTTGAACAAATTTTTATTTTGAGATCAATCTCTGGGCTTAGTTTACATATTTTTTTCGGTTGGGCAAAGTAAGACCTGAGACCGCGCCATTTGTACTTCAACAATTAAAATTTCTCAGTATTTTAGAATTACAATTTACTGATCATGATTCAGTCTGACTGCCCCATATTCAATTTGTTTCCTTTTTCTTTTCTTTTGATTGTTATTCCTTAAAACCTTTTGCTGAATTTGGACTGATGTCATTTCTTTTTCGATCATTTTTATGGAGAGGAAATTCACCTGTCAATTAACCGCCTAATTTTTCAACTTTGCCTCCAATGTTTGTCAGGTTCTTTGGCCGACAAATCGCCTTTTGTAAGAATATTTAGCGCTCACGCATTCGGTATCTACTGTAGTCATTCCCGTTATCAGTACCGCTCGTTTTGATATGTCAAAGAACAGTATTTTGAAGAGCAATACTGAAATAGCGAAGGATGCATTAGCTAAGAACTCTTGTGCTCCAAGAATAAGAGAAATAAACCATAATCAGTGTCTTAAACATAGTTACGAGAAGCGCGGAACCTTTCTAAGATAGTAATTCAAACGAGTAGCGAAAGAAAGTAGTCTTTTTTTGAGTGTATTCAGTATCCATGAGTTAGACAGATCGACGGAGGGGCAGCTGTTTTGGGCTTGATCACAAGTCGCTGCGCGGAATATGTAATTTTTTCCTTCTTATTTTGTATTGAATTTCGAAAATTGCAGATAACGTGAACAAATAGCAATTTTTTCTCAAAACGTTCATGTTCCCCAGTATCAACGACCGATAACAAACGTCGTGAAAGTTCCAAACTTAAAAGATTTATTTCAAAGTTTTAGATCCGTTACAAGAAGAAAAATTGGTGAACCATGAAGACAAAACCTCGTCCCTAACCTACACGACGCATGCGCGCACAATTACATAATCTAAGTACGCGCACAATTACGCAACCTAAGGTACCAAAAGACTTCCGCATAGCACTAAAATACTCTGAACAGTCAATTATTTTTTTTTTTTTCCAAGTCAGAAGAGATAGTCATATAAAGATGAAGACTAGCGAAAATGATGCCAACCTTTCGGTTTGTTCATGACGCTTGTATAAAGATGATTTAGGAAAGAAACTATTATCACAGGACATTTATGTTTTTATGAAATTCACTCTTTTTACTTGACAATTTTTAGTTTCCTGCAGTTCGTTCTGTCTTGAGGGAAGTGTCGGGGCATACTGTTTGCTATTCTGCGCGTTGATTGTGCATCGCAAACGGAAGATGTTTTTCAAGTATGCGCGAAAGTCCTTCATTTGGAAAAAGTAGATGATGAAGTTTATCGCGCTGCTGAAATATGCTGCAATACCGCCAGCCACGTAACGCACAATGTATTCTGTTGAAAATGGACGCTGCGGTTTAACTATCTGAGTGTATAAAATGTTGCCTATGTAAACAAAATACGGGCATATAAAGGCAAATGTAAGAGCAATTAGAAGATAAGTTGCCCTGATTCTGGTAGCTATAAGTTTCGCTCTAAATGCTCTGGTCGTTGCATGGCGAATTTTTCGTCCAGTTCTATACCACAAAGTTTTCAGCAAACATACGTTGACGTATGTTATGAAAATGCTAGGAATGACGTTTTGTAATGGGAAAATAACAGCGGATATTCGAAAAGGATAGAAGTTCTGGTTGTAACGGCAGATCACTGTAAAGTGATTGTCGTTTAGAAGTACTTTTACTCCGTCGAAAGCGGCTGCTGGAAGCAACATTATGGTTATTCCTAATATCCAAGCCCCATTGATCATTTTACGGACTGTGGTGACTGTAAGCGTGTAAGGATTCTTACGAGTTGAAAAATATTTCTCCACACTGATCACAACCAGGGTATTAACCGTGACAGCGGGGAACACGAAATTCAGATAGCGAACCAACTTGCACAGCCACCCACTCTGCATAAGATCGAAAAGAATTTGAATGCAAAGAAGGGGCAGCGACACGGAACAAGAAAGGAGATCGGAGAGGGACAAACTCCTCATATACAGGTTCAAATTGCGCACGAAACGACTCCTTTGGATCGGACTTGTAGTTTTCTTCCGCCGAAGAAAGTAAAACAGCGAACAGTTACCAACGAGCCCCACTGTGCCGATGACTGATAAAACTAAGCAGAGCACACGTTTAGCGGTGTCTCCGGCGGGCGTGAACACGTAAATAGCGCGCCTTACTTCAGTCTGATTGCGGCCCAGGTGTGTCCGTAAAGTCTGGTTAGGAAATGACCACCAAGTCTCTCCTTTTTCCATTTCAGCACAGCTCTGTCAAGAAGGAAGATGGGATAATGTTACGAAATTTGTATTAACAAATGACCATAAAGCAGCCCTACATGATGTTCACAATTTAGTGGCTTTTGCACTGTGATAACATTATCTAAACCTTCCACGTTCACCACGAAGAATGATGGTTTCCCAGGACTCATTCGCAAGAAAAGTTTACATTCCGCACCTTCCAGTCTGTCTCGGTGGCTTTTCGATCAATCTCTGAGTCATGTAACACGCATTTTCAAAGACTCATGAAGTCATATCTCGCTACCTTAGCAACTGGTGCATGGAAAGACAAAGCACGGAAAGCAAGCCTACTATGAAACAACATGGAAAAAAAATTAAGCAGCCTCGTATAAGCCACCGACTAATGACAAACTCGCATATCGTAACCTTGCCATAATTATCAAGTGTTGAATCCAAAAGAAGACGAAGACACAAGGAATTATCATATATTGCATTCCTTGTTTAGATTTGGAAGCAATGCTAACGGTGTCACTTTTTGTGTATTCATGAAGGTTGATATCTCAACATGGTGTGAGAGGAAGGTACGTCTTTTGTTCAATTGGTCTAGAGGCCGAGGAAAAAACTGGCATTAAAGATTTTTGACGAATCTCATATCAAGCTAGTAACCAAGGAGCAGTAAAAAAAATTAAGAAGCAAAACCAAAAAAATTTTGACAGCACGAGTCTGCTAACTACAACGAAATGAAAAAGACTCATCGAACTTTCTAAATTATTCTACGCGCTTTACAGAAAACGTTACATGAATTAAGAATGCAATTCATTTATGTTTTCAAAGCATTTTTTCAACACTATTATAACATCGTTAAGCAAAAAGAAAAAAAGATGTTTAATACGACAAAATAAAAAAATACGAACTGATAATGAATGTCCGCAAAAAAGTTTTTAAAACTGAACTTGTCGTTTCATGCTTCAGTTTGATCTACTCTTGATAAAGCAGGCGAAACGAGTCAGACCAGTTCATTATTTATGTACCATTTTCATTATTATGCTGTACTGGATAATCTTTACAAAAAAAAACAAAAAAAACTAAAAGGCATCTGTTATATATCCTTTGTTCTCAACCTCTTCATCCTTCCAAATGATTTCGAAGAGATTTCCATATGCAAATTTTACATTTTTCAAGTTTCTGTCATGAAAACCAAACCACTCTTTTTTTTCTTAACCCTTTTTTTCGGAAAATCAGGAAAATTCTAGACGATCGGCGATTTTACTATTTTCCGGCCGTCTTAGATTTTTCTTACAAATGAAAACTCTAAATCGTAGAGATCCTCGACAACCTGGGATGGTCGGCGACAAACCGGGAAAATAGAAGCGTTTTCTAATTTCCCTACTCGCGTCAGGTTTCTGTGATGATCAGCGATCATCCACAATATATAAAAAAATTCAATTTTCACAGTCGGGTAAGTCGGCGATAGTTCTAGCTCGCTACCAGTCCTAGTTGCTTAGCTAAAGTACCCCGAATCCCAAATAAAAATGGTGTGTGGAAGAATCTGCGACAGACATCTGTTTATGTCTTTATATCAACAAAATCTGGGAACGTCGCGAAACAGTGAAATTGCCCATCGTATGGCATTTTCCTGACATGTGAAAACCAGGCTTTAGGAAAATTTAATGAAATATCTAATTAGTTAGTTTTTGTTGAGATAAGTTTCTCATACATGAGCTCGTTGCTGTTTTTTTATTTTTTTATTACTATTTATCTTTGAACCATCAATAACCACAGAGAAGCCTTAGTGAATATATTTCATCCACATTAGCTTCAATCAATCCTCTTAACCAATTTTCAAAATGCACAAATGTGCCTTTTAAAACTACTTTAAGGCTAACTTTGAACCCTACACTGGAATAGTCCGTTGAGTATACTTTCTTAATGAAAATTACCCTGTTAGTTTATCGTAAATGGAATCCAGTGAGTCTTCGCGCAACGAAATCATGTAAGAAATTATGCACCTGTGTTTTATGTAACAATGGTTTTCCGCTCAAAGGTACAATTTTGTTCGTCGGGATGCCGATCTATTTCAAAATTCGTTTCACATCCAAAATGTTTTTTCTAATTGAAAATGGTGTTATGAGGTTAACTAAAAAGAACAGAGTTTGCAGTTTTGTATTAGTTCCAGCATAAATTTCTCGGTGAAACAGGGTGAAATAAGTAGTACTCATTGATACAATATAAACTACATGAACTGAAAGTAGATTTTTAAAATTGCAGCAATTCAAGCAAAAAAAAAACAACAACAAAAAAAAAA